CCCCTCCATCCACATCACCACGCACGACCCCCGCGTGGAGATCGTGCGGTACATCTCGGCACCCGAGAAGACGCAGCGGGGCGAGAGCCTCGCTTGCCAGACGGAGCCGGAGGCCCCGCCGCAGCCGGGCATCGTGGTGCCCCAGCTCACCGTGCCCACCACCATCACGCCCTACTCCGCCAACATGCAGATGGGCAGCGCCGGGCCGCTGGACCCACATGCCGTCCGCCAGCAGAGCCTGGGCAAGTTTGAGAAGAAGAAGCCGGACCCGCTGGAGATCGGGTACCAGTCGCATTTGCCCACTGATTCCCTCTCGCAGCTGGTGACCCGGCAGCCCCCCAGGTCCCCGCAGGTCCTCTACTCACCCGTGTCCCCCCTGTCCCCGCACCGCCTCCTCGAGTCCTCCTTCGCCACCAGTGAGAGGCTCAACAAAGCTCACGTGCCACCGCAGAAGCACTTCACGGCTGACTCTGCCCAGCGCCAGCAGACCCTGCCGCGTCCCATCAAAACCATGCAGCGATCCCTGTCCGACCCCAAGCCCATCAGCCCCACGTCGGAGGAATCCGGGAAGGACAGGTTCTCCCTGTACCAGCATCCGCTGCTCCCGGGCAGCCAGGTAAGCGGGTTCGGGAACTCGCTTGGGTGCTCTGGAGTTACCAGCACCACCAAGCCCAACGTCTGCTGGGGCTGGGGGTGCTAACGGGACAGTGAGCGAGAGGCTCCTGGCACTGGGCACTGCCCCGGTGCTGCCCTCTGCCCCAGCGTTTGCCTTGGCAGGGTTTTCCATGGGGTTTGGGGCCTCTGCCCTCGCCAGGTCCTCAGGTCTCCTGGAGCCAGGAGAGGCTGGAGCCGCGGCCGGTGCCGGGGCAGGGGCTGGGTCCCCATGTTGCTGGGAGCAGTTTGGCACGGTGCAGCCCATGTCCTGCATTCTGGGGACTGTGAGGCAGCTCCGTGGGCAGCACCTGGGGGAGAAGGGCATGTGGATCCGGATCTTCCACCAACTCCTCAGTGCCTGGGAGAGCCGACCAGCATCCCCTCCACATCCCTCTGGGGTTTAATGGCACAAACTGGCCGGTGAGGGAGGACTGAGGAGAGGTGGCTGGATAGAGGCTGGCTTGCGAGCAGCATTCTGGGGACTGTGAGGCAGCTCCGTGGGCAGCACCTGGGGGAGAAGGGCATGTGGATCCGGATCTTCCACCAACTCCTCAGTGCCTGGGAGAGCCGACCAGCATCCCCTCCACATCCCTCTGGGGTTTAATGGCACAAACTGGCCGGTGAGGGAGGACTGAGGAGAGGTGGCTGGATAGAGGCTGGCTTGCGAGACTTGGATCTGCCAGCCGCGGACTAGCCAGAGGCACTGAATTCCCTGGCAAAGAGCAGGAAGGGACAATCCGTGGAGGTGCTGGAGAAAAGCCAGCTTTGTCACCAAGGCACTTGCTGCCGCTGGCTGAGCTGCTCCTCCTCCAGGCGTGACGGAGGGGCTGGGTTGCTTTTCCTACCAGTCCTCGGCTTGTCCATGGGAGCCTGTGATTGGAGCCTGCCGAGCCTGGCGCTTCCCAGCCCCATTCCGCTCTGTGGCAGGGCTGAGACACGGAGAAGGGCCGGCCTCGCAGGCAGCCCCGGGAGCGAGGACGGAGGGTGACACTTGCCTGTTGGCCACTGAATAGCGCTGAATGATGCAGCCCGGCTGTCCCGACAGGTCCTCATCCCCCTCCGTGCTGCCATGGTCTCCTCCGTCCTGTCTGCTCGCATTTGCCTCCTGCTCGGCAATGGCCCTGGCAGATAAAAACCGGCAAGGCCAGAGCCTTGCGCTCTGTGCAGGCTGGCCCAGAGCTGAGTCTTTTGGCCCATCTTTTCCACACAGGGAGCAGGTTGTCCCCAGATTCCTGTCCCTCCCTCTTGTGTGCAGAAACAGCCTGTGCAGCAGGAGAGTGTCCTGAGCCTGGCAAGGAGTCCCCTGCACGTCCTCATGCAGGCGCAGGCTGGGCCCAACTCCTGAGGCCAGCCTCGTCCCACGCCGGAATAACCTTTCTCTTGGAGAACAGCTCCAAGAGGCCCCAGAGGACATTTCAGTTTTGTTAGTGCTCCAGCAATTAATATTTTAAAAGGCTGCCTGCTTGCAGCAGCTAGTGGCGGGCTCCATGCACGTATTGGTGCTCTGCAATCCTCGTGTCGGCGGCTGAGCAGTGGGGAGGACTGCAGCGT